TAATGTTTGCAATGTGTCATATGAGTGACATTCATGAACCGCAAAATTACTATAAAACAATACAATCTGAAGAAAAGGAAAATTGGAAAAGAGCAATGGATGATGAAATTAAATCGCTAATCACTAATAAAACTTGAGTATTGGAAAAGTTACCTGATGGTAAGAAATGTATAATTTGCAAGTGGGTATATAATTTTAAAACTAATCCTGATGGTTCAGTTGACAGGTTCAAGGCAAGGCTGGTGATCAAGGGGTACTCACAACAGAAAGGAGTTGACTATTCTGAGACATTTAGTCCTATGGCTAGACTGGGAACAGTAAGAGCACTGTTAAGTACTGCAGCTAATGAGAAAATGTCACTGAAACAGTTTGATGTTTCTACAGCCTTCCTTTATGGAAACCTAGAAGAGACAGTCTATATGAAGCAGCCGGAGGGATACAATGATGGTTCAGGAATAGTATGCCGTTTATAAGGAGTTTGTATGATCTCAAACAAGCTCCTCGGTGTTGGAACAAAAGAATTGGCAACTTCAGCAATGATTCAACTTGGCTTAAATAACAGTGAAGCGGATCCCTGTTTGTTCATTAAGAAAAGATTGTATTGAAGCTTCTGATTGCACTCTATGTGGACGATGGGCTGGTTGCATCAACGGATAATGAAATGCTCGAAGACTTCATAAAAGACTTGAAACAAGAGTTTAAAATAGTAGAAAAACCGGCATCTTACTTTCTTGGGCTAGAAATAAAGCAAGAAGAAGAAGATGGATCTATAAGAATTAACCAGGAGGGATAATAATGAAACGTTTCGGCATGGAAGACTGCAAACTGGCAATGACCATCAAAAACGACACAACAGTAAGGAAAGTAGACCTTCAAGAAAAAGTGAAGTCTAAAGAATTCCCGTGAAGAGAATGTGTTGGAGCATGTATGTATCTGGTGACTGGAACCCATCCCGATATTGCTCTTGCTGTGGGGAAAGCATCAGTCATTGGAGAACCCTTCATATGAAAGCTGGATTAAAGTTAAAAGGCTACTAAGATACTTGAAAGGCACAATGAATTTGTCTTTGGAATATAATTCAATTCATAAATCAGGACTGCTAGAATTTTACAGTGATCATAAACATAAACAAATGACGTTGTTGGCCCAAATCCTATTCTAATAGCATTAACATATGTTTTGGCAGTTCTATTTAAGCAATAATGTTTATTTTTGGGCCAAAAACTTCATTTGTTTATGTTTATGATCCATACCGGTTATTTTCAAGTATTCATGGGTGTAACTAACACAACTTTGTTTTATATAGATTAACATATGATTAGTTTGTAATAAAAGTTTAATTTTGAATTAACAACATCATTCAGGTTTTTGTTAAAATAACTTTTTTATAGTTTTCTGGTTAGTGATTAATTGTAGATTCTCGGAATATTCAAAAATTTTTAATAAAAGAAAAACGTAGTTGTGTAATCCAGTGATCACAGAATGCGCCAGTGTCTAACCACCTTATTTTTTGTTGCTAACCAAGTTTATGGGTTATAACAGTTGCTATAGCTCACAATAGGTCATTTGATTAGTTTGACTTGGTAAAAAAGTTTGTGTATTCAACAAAAAATATTAATTGAGACCAGCACACTCTGTCTGTGGCTCAGATCAACTACGACGATTTTAATTAAAAATCTGGCGAAAAATTTAACATGGGGATTGAATGTCTAGTTGTATTAATAGTCAAAGATATTATACTATTTTTCTAGGGACAGTTGTATTTAACCTCAGCTCTGTTGCTAGTTACAGTGTATAATGAACAATGTAAACTAATTTTTGCCATTCCTGTGATAATGATAGCTGTGTTACATGCATACTGAGAAATAGACAAATATGAGATGTTGTCAAGATTATTTATGATGTGACTTAAAATAAGTTTACCAATAATTAAACATAAAAAACTATGAAACTGACAGTTGGTTGACAAAAAAATTAATTACTAATAAAATAAAACATATTTTTCACAGAAATTTGCTATTACGTTTAAATTTACAATTTTCAATATCTATTAAGACATTAGTTTTACATTTTGATTACATAATGCATTTATAACCTGTAAAGTGTAAATTTCGCCTTTGTTGGATGTTCGTCTCCTAAATGTGTAGTAATCCATACTAGGCCTATACTGCAATAGTTTTTTTTTTTTGTTTTTGATTAATTCTTGCCAATTTAGTTTGTCCACTTCAAAGCCCAAACATGTTTACTAGAGAATAATTTTGAAAACAAAACATACAAGGTCAACAAAATAATGTTGATAAGGTTTGACTTTTACTCTTCATTTGAAATTTTTGCTGCAATAATTTGAGTACCGGTATTCAAGTTAATGGAATATTTCAAACAACAGGTTAACTCTTTCGCGTGGAAGTAGTCATTAGTAAAATAACTATCATATTAGTCTGTAGTCATTCTCTTTTTTGATTAAAAATGATGACATTTTTTATTTTACACATATGGTTAAATAAATTTATCTAAAACATATTTTGTTGCAATCAAATTTGCCACAAAAAAGTGCAAAATTGGTTTCAGCAGAGCAATCAATACTGACAGCAGATATAGAGATCAATGGTTATCCTTCTGACCTAAAGTTACATTTTTGTATGAGAAATAAAACAATTTTTTCAAAGTAAAATTATTTCAGTTGATCAATAAAAAAATTATTAACCACCTTTGAAATATAATATACAGTAGAGTCCCGCAAACTCGGCACTCGATAACCCGACAGTCTGGATAACTCGGCCATCACCTGGCTCAGAAAATTAGTGATTTTTTGAGTCCGAGTTAAACATGGACTCAAGCCAGTTCAAGTTAAATCATTCACAACTCGTACCAAGGATTTGTTGTACTATATCTGCTAACTTTTTTTTGTGGGGGCTGGGGTAATGACATACCCCTGGCTACTTCGGCCTGGAGACCTTTTGTAGCACCCTTTAATTCATTCTGACAGCCCTAGGCTTCTCAAGTAGCCCAGGAGCTGAAAGACACCCAGCTTCCTTATCTCTGTTGGTTCCAGAAATAACCTCCCCAGAGATGTAAGCCTTCTATGGGCTAACGCTGGACAGTCCAGCCATAAGTGTTCTGAGGTTTAATACTGTTGTTTAATCTGCTGACTTAATACTGACTTATAATATAAATATAAATAAAAAGGCAGTTAAAAAGCTTAAAAATTGTATTGTTCTTATTTTTAACCCTAGTTCCCGATAACCCGTCATTTCACAAACTAGGCACCCAGTTCCAGTCCACATTACGCCGAGTTTATGGGACTCTACTATATTAGCCATCTTAACAACATTCAAAATTTTTATCAAAATCTATTTTTTTTGTTTTATGGGAAAATCACTGCTTAAAATCTAAATTTCCAAAAAAATATATAAAAAGGCCTTGGAGATACCCATTATTACACATGTATAAAACTTCATCAAAATCGGATTAGCTTTGTACACATCCACAAGTACGCAGACATCACTTTTGAGTTCAGGGGGATTCTTAACGGATATTTCCACTCAAACTCAAAAATTTGATGAAAACAATACTTTCTCCATTATACTATGAATAGGGGGAGAAAGTAAAAAGCTCTAAAACATCATTTTTAATGGATGTGCTATGGGGTCATCGGGGTTGTTGCAACACATTTCTCTATGGTAAGGAAAGAATATTCTGGCGCCCCCCCCCCCCCCAAAAAAAAAACGTATAATGAAGGTTTCCTGATATCGCCTATTGGTCCAAGTCTTGTCCTTAATGGATTATGCGCATTTCGGCGCAAACTCGCTTTATGTTTTTGTGTTTTATTTGTGAACTTTCAACGCACCTCTTGAGGGAAGATTCTTTTACAGATCCTGCATACAGCTTCTTTTACAGCTCACATCCGAAAAGAAACAAAATTTAATAAATTCAAGCAGCTCTTAAAGGAATATTTTTTAAGAACTCCCTGCTACTCAGTAACAGAATTCTTTAGTATTAGCAAAAAACAGTTAGGCCTAACTTAATTTGAATTCCAAATACTATAATCCTTAAAGTCATGGTTTTGTTAAAAGTTATAGTAAAGTAATTTTAGCACTCTTTTTATGTATTTAATTAGCAGTAAGCAATTTTGAATTTAGCTTATGACTCTATTCAAGTTTTGTAATGTGAAACTATAATGAATAAAGAATGTTTTGACTTGACTTTGACTTTGACAATGGTGTTCGCGCCAAAATGCGCATAATCCGTTAAGGACAAAACTCTGACCACAAGGCGACATCAGTTAATTTAACCATTTTTATAGACTAGGGCCGTAAGTAAAAGGACACCACTATACCGTACAAAAATAAAAAAATATTTTTAAAAATGTTTGTATTAATTATTTACAATTTTGTTGTGACTGCGGATGGCAATGATAGTAGTGTTCCACGATAACAGGAGATATTCACGATTTTGTGACGGTGGTGTGTGGTGATGATGATGTGTGGTGGATGTGTTCCTCCTTGATCGCGGAAGATATTAACTATTTTGCTGGGATCACAGGGGCCCAAACTGGTTATAGTGGCCTGGCCTGGGGCCGCTAGTACTTCTGGCTCTGACGGTAGTTTATCTAGATACTGAAGGGTTATATCTAGATACTTAAAATGAGCAGATAAAAATGCTTTAAGTCCAAAACTCACAAATGTCTGCTGGATAAATCCATTCGTTATTATTTGTAGTAATTGTTATTTGGAAATAACAATAAATCAAGTACTTTGAGTGATGGTCCCACCTTACGATATATGAACACTTATGTATATTCAATGCCTATGGTCTCTTTCTTTAATACCGATCATTGGAGAGCGCTTTGGCGCCCCCTTTTGCTTGGCCCCCTGACTGTGTACTTTTCTAACCCCTTAAACCAGCCCTGCTAGCTGTACATTATATAATTAAATACACTATCTCCTCCCACATAGAACTAATGTAACATCCAATATAAATATGCCTTTGTAATTGTTCAGGTTTTGGGTGTAGAACAAGTGGATGGTGAGCCTGAAGTTGAGATGAAAATCATGACCAAGGCAGCTAGAGACCAGCACCAAAAAGACTCTGAAAGTAGTAAAACTTAGTCTACTTGTTTGTTAGAAGTTCCGAAGTTTACATTTTCTGTGTTAATTCCATCGTTTTATAGGTCTGTTATGAAAAATCTTGGTTATTAATAGTGAGTTTTGTTCATGATTTACACAAAGAGAATAGATGTTAATCCCCCCGCGCAGGATGCAAAGGTATCTTGTGCCTATTTTCACTGATTTTTAATAGAACAGAACTTTTTTATTTATTTAATAACTCTAGCCTGAGATTTTCAAACCCTTTGTAGCAATATTTTTATAATACCACCATTAATTTGATTTCCAATTAATTTTTAATTTTCACAATGGAATTTCCCCCCCTGTGTAGAACAATAATTGTTATAAAGATAATTTAGTATAAGCAAAGGTTTTTTGTTTGCAAAGGTTACTGCAGTTTATTGTACATAGTTGTAATATATATATATATATATATGTATACTATTTATTAACATATTCATAGTTAATAAATATCTTATTTATTTTTAGGCCCTACATGTAAGAATATTCAATGGGTGAATAAAGTGTTTTCTGTCAACATAAATAAATAAATTTATTGTTTAAAACCCGGTTACCAATAATGAAGTACCTCAGTTAGTATGAATAAACAAAAAGGGTTTCAAGCTTGTATAAAGACTTCTGAATTAAAAGGAAAACTCTTGAACAATTATGGTTATTAAAAGTAAAAATTAACCACATTCTCAATTAGTTATTACGTGTGTTGAAGTTGGATATTTTTTGTCGGAATTGATGGGTAAAATTTTTAAGTTAAATTTTAAGTAAAAGAGTTTTTATACCAAATTAAATTATACCAGTTTTGTGCTTAATAACAAAACCTTCTCGACCCAGGCAAACCTAAAGAACTTTTTCAACTTTGCCATGTTTGTAATAATATCACTACTGTATATTAAATAGGTATGAAAACCACAAGCATAGCTATCCAACTAAGTGTAGACACAAATTCCAACTGCCCATCCACAGACTTAATAACTTCATTTGAAAATCTGCCACAATGTATATGGTAAAGAAAATACTGCAAACTGCTACAAATCATTTGAATCAAATGACATTTTAATAAATAGTACTAATATGATGATTTTCTTATGTGTGCAGCGAGTTTTGTGTGTCATATTTATTTTGTGTGTTACTTTGACTAGTGGAAATAAGGCCCTAGCAGCACAAGGAGCCTAGGCCAAGGAAACCCCCATGTTTAGATAAATAGAGTTTGAAATAGAGTTCAAACTTAAGTTTTGACCTATGAAATGTTGTACTTGATATATATAGCATTTGATCCATCTTAAGCCTATGGTGTATTTGTTGTTATGCTCACTGAGAAAGAAAGACAATAGATAATAAACTAATGACAAATGTCGCTTGAATGTTTATTTCAATTAAAATTCTTAGAACTTCCTTTTGTCAATACTAATATTATCATTGCTTTTCCTTTATCTCCATACCTCTTCTTCAACCTAGAACACTGTTCACTGTATCTATCTATTTAGATACTTAACTAAGACAATTTTTTGTTTTTTAATTTTTTTTAGTGTATAGGATAGCAACTTTTTGTAAGTAAGAATATTGTTAACGCTTTTAAGGTTAAGTGGTCTAAACACCTCGATTTTTTGCGTATATGCCGGGAATCTAACCTGTCCTTCTTACACTGAAGTCTGAGACAATAACCACTAGGCTTTAAGCAAATATTCAAACCAAGACACTTCCATTGATCTGTGGTACCTCGTTTGGTATTCCTAATACAATAGGGGTAATGAAACTTGTACTATAAGGCAACAACAGGCAATTTTATCCTCTAATTTGTAATGAAATCATCTGGGTTCCAAACAAACCTGCGACATTACTTTCAAAGTGAAGACTTACCATCAATTAAGTAACTATATAATTCATCGTGATTTAGCCTCCGGATAACCAATATTTCAATAAAGTGTTTTTAATACCTGCATAAAAGTTATCCAAAATGTTGCTCATGGCAACCGGTTTCAATCCACAATAGGGATCTTCATCAGGCCGATCAGGATGTCAAAACATTTTTTATCTTCTTACGAAGGTAGTCAAAAGGCGTAAAAAACATGCACACATAGTCACAAACACGAAACACGGACATTTTTTAACACTAAAGACACGGCCGAAATTATTGCGACGACTCATCCCCTGATCGGCCTGGTGAAGATCCCTATTGTGGATTGAAACCGGTTGCTGTGAGCAACATTTTGGATAACTTTTATGCTGGTATTTAAACCACTTTATTGTAACTGTATAAGTTCATTAAAGAAAATTCAAGAATTTTGTTCATTATTATCAAATTGAATTAACTTTGTCGTCATTAAAATATTTAAAAATGCTTTTTTGGTAGATTAAAATCCAAACTACGTCAACTCATCAGTATATTTTTTTAAATTTTAGCAACTATCCAATCATAAACAAGTTTAATTTATTATCTACTACTGAATCTCATTTGAAAAAACCTTTTTACCAATATAAAAAGGTCTTTCTACGAAATACCAACATTTCAATTTTAGTGTGGATTGTTTCTTAGACATGAGAGGTTCACGTGGAAGGTTCACAACCGAGTATGTTCAAGTGTGACAATTCAGGGCACAACTGCAGTATATGATCATTACTGTATGTCAATAGTGTTTGGTTTCCATTAGACTACTCTGTTTTGAAATGGTTTTTCATCAGCATTATACAGTCCATAAAACTTTAGTGGCATATGAGGATTATGGAGTCCATATTTCATTCCAAATTATTTTAGTTCCCGGGTTCGAAGCTAGGGGTTTTAAGCTCAGATCTTGCAAGAAGTTGACATATTGTGTTGCGTGGAAATCAGTGTCAACTGCAGTACTATTAACTTTTTGTTTGAATTTATTATAACAGCTAATTTGAACCAAGCAGAAACAAAAACTGTGATGCCCAAGAACTACCAAATACTAAATTGTGGTGGTGTATTGTGGGAATGAGTTAATTTTATTTTTAAGTGAATTCATCAACTTATTGACTTTATTTTTTCCAAATTTTTATGAAAAAAAATTATCAAGTTTGTTTTCCTCAAAAATAATGTCTGAGAAACGGAGTGGCGTGTTAATAGTTCTAGTGCATTACTGATCAAGCCAATGACTTGGATGTAAGGATTTAATATTATAGATTATTATAGATATAGTTTGGAGTATGTCAATAACTTAAAAACTACTTGAGCTATTATTGAGCTGATTTTTTTCCATGAGTAGAGCCAATATATACAACCACAGGCAATGGACATAGGTAGTTATCTTTTATTTTACTACTCTCTTAGGGCTCTTACCCTAACAGCTTATTATGTAAGTCAGTGTGAAAACAATACACATTGGCATCAGATAGAATAGAACAACAGTGTGGATGAATTACAAAAATGACAACATTGTGAATAAATTAACAACAATAACTAACAGTGTAAATAATTAACAACAATAACAATCAGTGTAAATAAAGTAACAACAATTACGACATTAAATCTACAGCAATAAAATTTACTATATATAACAATAATAAACTATAGCAATAGGTAACAACATGATAAACTGTGACAAAAGCTAATCAACAATGACAATGACAGCACTTCACACTATTGAGCTATTGGCGCCTTTAAAGGCACCACCAAGGAACCACGAGACCACATATCCCACCGAACAAGCACTCCCCGGTATCCAGCGTGTGGCCCTTTAGCTTTAGTCTAAAGCTAAAAGTTGGTAGAGAGTTTATCGATCGGCCAAATAATAGTGTCAGTTAAGCTGTTGTAAACTACCCCTAGAGTACTCTTACTGGGTTTAACAAATTTTCGGCATAAAAAAACTTATGGTCATTTTCATATAAATATTGTTATGATAGGGGGCCCGTGTGGCTGAGCCTGTCACACAATTGCGGGCCGAACGAATGGTGTTTTTGGCCTCTGGGGACATCAAAATGAAAAAGTTAAAATCCCTCCCGGAACGGTAATAGATACTTAATCACTAGAGAAATTCGCTATCACAAAAAGTGATGATGGTGGATGAGGGGGAGTTAGATTTTCTTAATGACATTCAATAACTCGGGAAACAAAATACACGCCATTTCTCTCTCTTAATGTTTTGGGTTGACCAATTATTGTTTGTCATTGAACAATTCTTTCTGCTCATCCAAGTGTAAACCATTGTTTATTCGTCAATACTGGTAGTATGTTTTCCAACAAACTCAAACAACTTTATCTTACTTCGTATTGAACTAAATTATAACATTTCATGAAGTGTTTTTTGAAGAATTTTGATTAGGATAAGTGATAAGTATTTTAAGTTTAATTGTAATTGAAATTCTATTTTTGTTGGTAAAAGCTTTAAAAACGTTAAAACAGAGAGCTATTACTTTCAACACCTTTATTTACAATTGAACTCACAACAATAAGCATTTAAATCATAATTGAATCTTAGCAATGAAATATAAAGTACAAAGAATAAAATATATAACAGCTGTTAGCTGATTCAAACTATATCACTTGCTGTATAGTCCAGGATCTGAAGGGGGTTGAGCATGCATGAAAAGGGTGACGCAATTTTATTTCTGATTGTTGTTATAGGCACTATAGTGATCACGAAAACGCATGTCGTCGCCCCCCAGCGTGGTCGACAACCCGGGGGGGAGGGGGGCAATATGGCGGGGGGCGCCGTTTACTAAAACGCCTATAACTCGAGAACTATTCTAGGTAGAACATTGCAATAAACGTCAATTTACTCAAAAAATTATGGTCTTTAAAAATGTTAATGTAGTGAAATTCGTATCTTTGATTGTTTTTTAGTTATTTTATATTGGAGCTAAAAATCAATATGGGGTTATGGGGTTAAAATAGGTTTTTCCCATTTTTGACCCTAATAACCAAACGAATTGCAATTTATTTCTTAACCCATTTTGTAGAGCTTAAAAAAAGAAATAATTTAGTATAGCAAAGGGCTGTCGTATGCCTAACGGTTATGGATATTGTTAAAAAAACTTACATTCAAAATGCCCATGTTATTCTTACGGAGAATAAAAAAAAACTGTTGTAGTTTGCTTATATATGGATATATTATAATCAAATTTGGCAATTTTGTTTATTTCATACTAAGCTATCAACATTTCAATATAAAACTCACCTCAATACCTCCCCTGTAGCAGCAAACCTAGGTACTCATTATAATTCATTTTATTTAAATAGGAAATAAAGCTGACAGTTTTCAGGGAATATTTGAGTATAAAATAATATTGAGTCTGCAGGTTTACTGCGGCAGGGGTACTTTTTAAAGCAACCGAAATTACAAGTACCAAGAGACACCTTTTAAGGATAAACATAGCTTTTATGTTTGTAGATCTATGAAAAAAAAAATTGATGAAAAATCAGGAAAAAATTATAGGAAAAACTGTTCTTTACTTAAGGTCCGTGTAGTTGGCGTACCCATATTAGCGTATCCACTTTTGATCATACCAATCGTTAGTTCATCGTTAGTTCTCGATAGTTCCCAAATGTTTTCGTTAGTTCTCAAAAAATAAAAAAGTTATAGCCGATAATAAGTGGGTACGCTAACTTCACACTTCCGGGTTCGTTTTCTGATGAGAAATGTTTACATCTATATATCAATCGTTAGTTCTTCGTTAGTCCTCGACAGTTCCCAAATTTTTTCGTTAGTTCTCAAAAAATAAAAATGTTACGAAGCATACAAAGTGAGTACGCTGACTTCAAAATTATAAAATTTCCAGCGGGCACCGTTTTATGACTAAAAACGCTTATATCTATATACCAATTTTTAGTTCTTCGTTATTTCTTGTTAGTTCCCCAATATTATTGCTTGTTCTTAAAAATTAAAAAGCCAATAAGGTCTTAAACGTGGTTATGCCAACCTCACACCCAAATCATTCCTAGCGTGCACCCTTGTCTGACTAAAAGTGCCTATATCTTAATATTAATCGTAAGTACTTAATAGCTCACCGATTTATTTTGTTAGTTCTAAAACATTTAAAAATTGCACCTGATGAGTTGAAGCTGAATAAGGACGCTAATTTCACACCTACAGAAATTCTAGCGTGCAACTGCATCTGACGAAAAAATTCTTTTTATTATTATTTTTTATTAGCTATGCTGTTATTGTTATGTTTTCCACTCGTTTTGTTGCTTGCCGCTGTCATTTTTGCCATCTTTTTGCCGTTTCTCCTTTTCGTTTTCCTTATTAACTAATTCATTTACATTGTTTTCAGTAAACTATTGCATAACTAGGCTAGTGTAGTAAGCAAGTATTCTATGTTATTTCATGTATAATTGTACCAAATATTAAAATGGAGCTATCCGTTGGAATGCAAAATAAAATAAAATAAAATAAATATTAATCGTTATTTCTAGATAGTTCTTCAGGATTTTCTTTAGTTCTAATAAATAAAACAAAGTTATGGCTGATAAAGTGGTTATATTAATGATACTTCCGATTTCTAGCGCGTCCTGTCATATGAAGAAAAACGCCTATATCTATTTACCAGTCGTTATCTCTGCTCGATAGTTATACAATTTTTTTTGTCACTAATAAATAAATAAATAAATAAATAGACGTATAGCCCATAATGAATAGATAAACTAATTTAACACTTCTGATTTCCAGCGCGCACCTTCATTCGACGAAAAATGCTTACAGTATACTACTATAAAAAATAAATAGATTAGAGTCATTTTCAACTGTTAAGCCGTGTCAAGCGCCAATTCAAGTTCTTCCGTCAACAAAATAAGCTGTCTCCAGACATGCGCCACTCCCAAAACACGACATATTTGCCGTTCGACGATCTAACGAGTAAAATATCTACACACATGTGTTGTTTTCCCAAAAACTGTTCGTTTCGGGAATTGCAAAGATATTCGTTCACTTTGATGTGTGCAAAAATACCGGCAATGAACGGAAAACACGAGGACGAGCATTTGCTGCCATTTGCTACTTGCGAGCGTAGGTACAGTCTGAAGCCGGCTATAGGCATGGAACTTGAATAAAACCCCCTTTTTGCAAATCATTAAACTAAATTTTAATTAATTATTTTATTATAAAAAATTTATCATAAGATAAAAATATTTATTCTCGGTATATATTAATAATCTAACACATTTAATTTTAAACGTATTTCTAAACTGTTTAAGAACGATGCTATGAATGTTTGAAAGAATAGTTGAGTGTACATTTTTGAGAACTATCCAGAGCTAACGAAGAACTAACGATTGGTATAAATATAGGCATTTATAGTCAAAAAACTGTGCCCGCTGGAAATTGTACAATTGTGAAGTTAGCGTACCCACTTTGTATGCCTCGTAACTTTTTTATTTGTTTGAGAACTAACGAAAAAATTTGGGAACTGTCGAGGACTAACGAAGAACTAACGATTGATATATAGATGTAAACATTTCTCATCAGAAAACGAACCCGGAAGTGTGAAGTTAGCGTACCCACTTATTATCGGCTATAACTTTTTTATTTTTTGAGAACTAACGAAAACATTTGGGAACTATCGAGAACTAACGATGAACTAACGATTGGTATGATCAAAAGTGGATACGCTAATATGGGTACGCCAACTTCACGGACCTTAAGTAAAGAACAGTTTTTCCTATAATTTTTTCCTGATTTTTCATCAATTTTTTTTTATAGATCTACAAACATAAAAGCTATGTTTATCCTTAAAAGGTGTCTCTTGGTACTTGTAATTTCGGTTGCTTTAAAAAGTACCCCTGCCGCAGTAAACCTGCAGACTCAATATTATTTTATACTCAAATATTCCCTGAAAACTGTCAGCTTGATTTCCTATTTAAATAAAATGAATTATAATGAGTACCTAGGTTTGCTGCTACAGGGAAGGTATTGAGGTGAGTTTTATATTGAAATGTTGATAGCTTAGTATGAAATAAACAAAATTGCCAAATTTGATTATAATATATCCATATATAAGCAAACTACAACAGTTTTTTTGATTCTCCGTAAGAATAACATGGGCATTTTGAATTTAAGTTTTTTTTAACTATATCAATAACCGTTAGGCATACAACAGCCCTTTGCTATACTAAATTATTTCTTTTTTTAAGCTCTACAAAATGGGTTAAGAAATAAATTGCAATTTGTTTGGTTATTAGGGTCAAAAATGGGAAAAACCTATTTTAACCCCATAACCCCATATTGATTTTTAGCTCCAATATAAAATAACTAAAAAACAATCAAAGATACGAATTTCACTACATTAACATTTTTAAAGACCATAATTTTTTGAGTAAATTGACGTTTATTGCAATGTTCTACCTAGAATAGTTCTCGAGTTATAGGCGTTTTAGTAAACGGCGCCCCCCGCCATATTGCCCCCCTCCCCCCCGGGTTGTCGACCACGCTGGGGGGCGACGACATGCGTTTTCGTGATCACTATAGTGCCTATAACAACAATCAGAAATAAAATTGCGTCACCCTTTTCATGCATGCTCAACCCCCTTCAGATCCTGGACTAGTATATAATACCAAAGATTACAATTGTTTTCACTGTAGAGGAGGGGGATTGTTTGCGTCGTTATGCTACACCTGTAAACCGATATTCAGCCCGACGATGATAGCACGTAATAGTATATTACGTTACTAGTCCTGAAAGTAAGTGTTTACCGGACGAGTGTGGTCGTTCACGTGCGAGACGAAGTCGAGTACGGGATTACCATACGAGTCCGGTACACACATTTTGGACGAGTTACGTACGATATTTTACGCCATACTACTTAATCCGTACAAATCCTTATATATTTCCACCAACTAAAGGACTAACAATCACTAGTTATCACCTCTGAGAGAGGTTATGTTTTTGTTTATAATCACTAATTGCCACGAAAGTACAGTATAATCAGCTGATTGGTGTCCGGTAAAACTCATTACAGAACAGTATTACGCAATGAAACCCCATTTGAATAAGCTGGTGGCAAACAGCTGTTTTCTGGACTAAATCCTTGCGTGGAAAGTTCGTCAAAATAATGTAGTGTGGCGTAAACAATGTTTACGTCAACAACACACACACAGCCATGATAAGAGGCGGAAATCTGACTGGTTGGCGATTATGTACAGTAGTTAACCTTGAATAAAAGAACGACGAATCGAATCATACATCACTTTTGTTTTGTTAGCTTTCGTATTTCGCGCTGTTGTGTCGACTCAATTGTGCTGCTGCTAGAACCATATGTTGCAAGATAATTTATTTAGTGCGCTTTAAAATTAAAATTTATGTTTTATCGTTTGATATTTAATACTGAATGAATATTTGTGTACCAAACAGTTATTAGTAACTTCACTTACAGTGCTTATCATTGAAGAACGAATTTTTTTTCACTTTTAGAGCTCATTTTGACTTTACTAGTGATTTGTGAACGTCGTAGTAAATTTATACAACGCCCGCCCGCACGTCTGCTAGTGATAGTCAAGTCAGTCACATTGTGTTGTGGTTGTTTATATGTGAAGTTATAAGGTAAGGCTTTTTGTTATTAACTTTATAATGCCATTCTTGTTGGCTTAACTTGTTAATTAGACCTATTAAGAATAAATTCTAAGTATGAATTTGCCTATTGCTGTATTAGGCTTGAAAAACATATAGGCTAGGGTAAGTTGAATATTTGTTACTGCCAGTTGGTACTGTAAAGGGTAATTTTGGAGATTCAATCGATATGTTACAGCTTTGAATTGTTTTGTTCTAGTTCAAAGGAAAATGTCGGCTTCTCCTATCGCCCGTCAGGCTACACAAAGCCAAAGCATCCCTACCAAAAGAGTGCTACTTACAGACCCATCACAACTTCCTGTGGATTATTCCTCCACACCGGGAGGCACTCTGTATTCCACCACACCTGGAGGTAAAGAAATGTATAACCTAACTTACATTAACTTATTTTCCCTCAAAATAAAAAAAGATTAGCCTAAAAATGGCATAGGCCTAACTTAACTTAAGTTAGCTCTAGGCCTACAAATATACTTAGGCCCTAGGCATGTAAGCTACTCGTCATATTTTTGTACTGTAGCCTACGGTAGCTTATTCAGTGCTAAGGTAAGCCTAGATTGTTTTATTTATAAATAAAGCTTAACTTAGGCCATGAAAAATCGGAAATTGTGCACCTTTAACTTATGCACTTTGCCTTGTTTCGTGCTTGGAGAGAAAGAAGCCCAGAGGCTGCGGCCACACGGGCGTTTTTTTCACGCACAAACGGAGCGTGAAAACACGCGAAAAATTAGAGTAGCATTGAAACAAATAGGCGCCCGCTACTGCGGGTAAACACACCGTGTGTGGCATTCCCCATTAATTTAAGGCTGCTCATATTTTTCGCGTGTTTTCAAGCTGCGTTTGTGCGTGAAAAAAACGCCCGTGTGGCCGCAGCCTGTGGAGAGCAAACAGCTGTTGATTGTGTAAGCCTAAGTTAGATCTTTTGCCTCACTCCCCAGTTAGCAGCTAACTTGATTTCTGGTCTCTTTGTTCTCGACACATTCATTGTTTACAGAAAGGGTTTGGTAATCAGCTGGAGTGGGTTTAAATGCACCAAGCGCTCTTATTGTTTGTTTCTAGGCATATTTTTTTATATTGGCGAGTCTAACTTATGAGTTAAGTAACTTAACTTAGGCCTACTTCAATAGGCTCTAAACAAAGTTAATCAGACAGTAATAGTGTTGACCTAAACTTACCGTAAGCTTTAACTCACTCTGTTGTGCAGGGTTGACACCCGTCCCGATTCCGCCGGGATAGTCCCGATTTTGGCTGACCTAAGGTAGCAACCCTGGTGTTGTGATTGAAACTTAAGTTATGGGTTGTATTTTACTAAGTTAAATCCTGTAACTTATAAGTTATTTGTTATTGGTAAACTTAGTGGGTGGAAAGAAGTATTGTAGGCCTAAGCTGCACGACTCGAAGGTTTTAACGGTAGACGTCCCTGCATAAAAACCTGTGTGAGGCTTGGTGAGGGTGGGCACTACTTCAGCTCACACTCTCTAAACACTTAAGTTTACTCGGCCTTGGGGCGTAATATATGCTACTAACCTAATAACTTGTAGCAACGTCATAGTCCTACTGATTTTGATTTAGCCCACTCTAACTTAACAATCAATTTTCTTTGGTACGGTACCTATGTCCTTAAACATAGGTACTGCTTTTAAAATCTCTGATTTTACATCAACATGAGCCAGCCACAATCTCAGTTTGTTTGTGTTGGTTAAATAATTTGAATTAAACTAATTATGGATTGTACATTTAAGTTACCCACAGCTGCTTGCTCCCCTTGTACTTTCTTTGTCACAGACCTTGGTCTTGTACAAACCACCGTAGCAATACCACCCCATTGTGCTTAGATTCATAAACTAAGACTTAGTTTTTACATCTATGGCGGTTTTCTAAAAAAATGGATGTCATTTTCAAATTAAGGTGCAAAATACTACATGGTACCATTAAATTAAAAAATCTTAGCTTAAACAGCCTAATTACTGTTACAAAACAAAATATTTTCACTAAAACCTAACTTTTAAAATACAAAAATTACAGTATTCATTGCAGTTAACACGTTTTGCTACTGCAATAGTAATTTTTCATTCATATGGACCAGTGACGCACAGTGGCGGATCTAGAGCAGTCACAAGGGGGGGGCGAACCAGGGAGTCAGGGGCGGTTCGGGGGTACCCCTCCGAAAAATGTGTGTAAACTAAGTCTCCTAAATCACAGTTTTTTACCATTTCTTTGTCCAAAGTTAGTGTGACAAATTATTTTACGCAATTTGTATGCACTACTGTATTACATGCAGTAAAAAATATATGTATATGTATGCCCGAGGGGGGGGCGGTCGCCCCCCTCGCCCCCCCTCTGGATCCGCCACTGGTGACGCACATCTGCGACAGCCGGTGTCTACCCATGGACACATTAGGCTGGTCACATTTAAATAGACCTGACGTCGCATATTTGCGTCGGGATCCCAATGTTATTAAAAAGCTTAGGCCTATATCGACGTAACACTATTTGAAGGCCCCGAATTCTCTGCAGTGGTCTACAGAGATGTCTGTCGCAAGTGTATCACTTGATCTGTGAATATGATATTGACGTCATATGATAGTTGGCAACTAACTGTTTTACTTTGCTGCATCACTGGCCCATTGTCTGTGTGTACTGTGAATGAAGGGACACCCAGTCTAGATGTGTAGTATTGAAATGTATACCTTGGTCCATGGCAATGATCGCAGCATCGCATATGTGGTGATTGGTTGCGAACATGTTAAACAAATTCTATGCCGTTGATAGTCCCAGGTTGCAGCCTGATTAGATTATTTTTGTAATTAACATGCATAATATGATAGTTTCAACATGTGATGTAATTTAAAGGGTACGGTACAACGGCTGTGGAATTAATGTCAAATTGTTTATTTACTGCTTTCCCGGCAAATCAGGATTGTTGGGTTATCGGGATCCTGAGTTTGTGGGACTTTAACTGTAGCCTATAGCCACCCCCCTTCTAACCATTTCACTTACCTATTAGCCTACTGTATTTAATGTTTATGTTTTATATATTTTTAAATTCTAGGAACTAAGATTGTCTATGACAGATCCATGCTGTTGCATCTGCGCAATTCACCAATAGCCCAGACCCCTCCTAAGCATATTTCAACCATCCCTGACTTCTTAATCAAGGGTAATGAGTATCCAGAACAACCAAAGGAAAACGGACATGAAGTCTCGAGCCCTGTCAAGAAAAGTAAGTTTGTGTTGAAATAATTATTGCTTGCCTAGTATTCATCAGATTTTTTCCGAAAAAAGTCAGTAGTTTCGTGACGGTTTGAATGTGAAGGCAGTTGTCCTTGACCATTGAACAAATTGTCATGGCTAAAGAATCGCCTGGTCTTAGTCACAGGAAAAGCTGCTGTACAACTCATCTTGTACGATCCTGCACTCACTCAGCATTAATCAATAATCAATCATGAGTTAAGTTATTTACAATCATGCATGGTTCAGCAGATGAATTCTATAAACTATTTAAATCCAGGCCTAAAGTATTGAGTGGGCAGGGCAGTAAGATCTGTTCAGCATGCAGTACACAGTCGTCGAATGTAGGCGAACCAAGACGAGCGCGATAGTGTACTCGGTGTGCTCGTGTACATTCAGAGTAGTTCGCATAGCCAACCAGGGAGCAAGGAATACCATAGAGTGGCAATGTGGTGCGCGGACTGAAGCCGACCTTGAAACGCTGGAAACTGGTGGAGGGGATATGGCGCGCCGGCGGTGATGAGTCACCCTAGTGGCGAACTTCTTGGGGGTTGTATTGCTATCTGAACTAAATGACAAATGACAAATGACAAATGACAAATGACAAATGACAATTCTTTATTGCACATAACATCTGTTAAAGTTATTACAAATGTAATACACAGACAGGTACATTGTCAAGGTTTCTAATAAATAAGGAAATCTAAATAGGTATATAAAAAACCTAGGATTTAGCCAGTAAGTTACCCCTACAAAGCTACAGCATGGTGGAACTGTTTATGTTAGGAGAGGTTGATGAGAGATTGGGTGTCTGTTACCAGGAGTCGTTGAAAAATTCCTCAAGAGTGTAATATGCTTTTTCTACTAAAACTGTTTTGATTTTGTCTGTAAATTTTGCTAAGTTTAATTGCTTTAAGGAGTTTGGAATTTTATTGTAAATTTTTAACCCCATATAGAGAGGACTTGTTTCATATTTTTTTAAATTATGAGTGGGGTATTGAAAAATGTCTTGTCTTCGGGTATTATATGAGTGATTACTAAGATAATTTTGAAACATACCAGGATTTCCATGAACCATTTTTAAAATTTCAAAAACGTATATTGAAGTTAGAGTTAAAATTTTAAAATTTCGAAACAATTGTCTACATGATGTTTTTTTGGGGCAATTTGCAAGAGTTCTGATTATTGACTTTTGTTTTTTAAAAACTTTGTGGACATCTGTGGCTGTCCCCCATAAAGTAATACCATAGCTTAAAATAGAGTACACATAAGCATAATAAACATTTTTACATACTTCCAAGGAGGTAACCTGAATTAAAACACTTAAAGCATATCTTGTTGGACTGAGTTTTTTGTTTAGAAAATTAATATGTTCTGTCCATTGTAGTTTACTATCCAAATATATCCCTAAAAACTTTACTACATTTGTGGGCGAGGTAGTAGTTTCTGTTCCAGTGGTTGAATTTCTCAATTTGAAAATTAAAACACTAGTTTTATCTTCATTCAAAAGTAAGCCATTTTTTAAAAACCAATTTGCTATTTCTCCAATTGTTTCTTTGACATCATCATGTAACATTTTAACAGTACTTCGTTTGATGAGAGCTGTTGTATCATCTGCATAAAGGGTAAAGTTACAGATTTGACTTGAAAAATGAAAAGGTAAATCATTAATATATGTGAGGAATAAGAGAGGACCTAGGATTGAACCTTGCGGAACTCCATAGTTATTATTTGCCCAAGAAGAGTATTTGTTCCCAGAGGCGGTTTTAATTACTGTTCTTTGTTTTCTATCGCTTAAGTAAGACTTCAAAAGTTCAATTATTTGTCCATGAAAACCAATTGCTGTAAGTTTTTTGATAAGAATTTTGTGATTAACACAATCAAAAGCCTTGGATAAGTCGCAGAACACACCAGCTGTGCACTGCGGCTCATCCAAGGCCTTCAAAGCGCAATTTACAAAGTTGTTTAAAGCTGATTGGGTATTTAGATTTTTACGGAAACCAAATTGTTCCTTGCAAAACTTGTAGTTATTTTCCAAAAAGCTAGATAATCTAGTGTGAAGAATTTTTTCATAAACCTTTGAAACATTACTTAATAAAGAGATCGGTCTGTAGTTCTGTACTTCATTTAAACAACCTTTTTTGTGAATGGGTACTATTTCTGAGAGTTTTAGTAGTTGGGGAAAAACACCTTCTGCAAAAGATTGATTAATTAGTGTAGCCAAGATGTTTGATATTTCATTTGCTGACCATTTCAATAATTTAATGGGTATACCGTCCCAGCCACAGGCATTACTGTTCTTTAAACTTAGAATAGTTTTTTTTACTTCAATTTCATTTGTTTGACGAAGATTACCTAATTTTGTCACCTGAACTGTAGGATTGTTAGCATACGGATTGATATTAGCACTGTGTGGCATGTTTGGCAGCTTAAGTATATTGACAATGTTGGAGTACTGATAATTAAACAGTTCCGCCACGACTACAGCATCATCAATAATTTCATTGTTGACCTTAAGTTTAATGTGAGGCTTAACAATTTCACTTTTAACACCTACACCTAATTCTTCCTTTACAACATTCCACATGGCTTTGGACTTATTTTTTGCTTGCATTATATACCTATCATTTGCAGATTTCTTAGCTTTTTTAACAATCTTTTGAAATATCTTTTTGTAATTTTTTACATAGCTTAGAAAATTAGGATCATTACTAAATTTTGCTTCATAATGTAATTTTCTTTTGTTTATTGATGACACTGTTATCCCTAAAGTAACCCAAGTTTTTGATTTACTTTTATTTTTTGCTTTAAAAGGTTTAACTGGAAAGATTTCATCCATACTTAATTTAATCTTAGCCAAAAAATTTTTGTAATTGTTATCCACTGAACCATCTAAAGATAAAGACATCAAATTACATCTCAAGCTATTAATAAATGGGGCGATGGATCCTTCAGGAAAACGTCTTCGATAGGATTTTACAGAGTTTGTTGATTTTAATTTAAATTTACTACTAATAGGTAACTGAAGGAATAGAGCATTGTGGTCAGACATAGATAAATCGAGATTCTCAAAAGGAGCTTTACCATAATTTATAGAAGTTAGAAAGTTATCAATGCAGGTTTTTGTTGTTTTTGTTATTCTTGTTGGCTCTTTGATGTTTATCAAGAAACCATGACTACTAATCATATTTTTAAATTCTTCTACTAAATTACTATTCTTTTCTAAAAGGTTAATATTAAAATCAGCTGCTATAACAATTTGTTTATAGGGGGTTTATAGGGGAACTATAGTTGTGTTTGTTTGTATTGCACGTTTTATTATCTAAAGTAGTAAAACGTTGTGTTGGTACGGAAATTTTAAAAGATAATGAACACTTCTCAAAACAAGACCCTGAACAAAATCATTTTGTTTTGTTAACAAAGACTATTAGCACAAAATATTTCACTGTGCGGCTTCACCCATATAGTAGGTAAAATTGTTTAGTGAATAATTCACAAATAAAGATTTAGAAACCTCGTAACTAAAACAATTACGTTTTAAGGCCAGTAGATTTATTCTACTTTGTTTTCCACGTATTTGTATTGGAATAATGGTTTACATGAATGATGTTTTATTTATTTTTATTGAAAGGATAATATTACGTATATTCATGAATGATGTCTTAACAGTTTACAATTTAGATAGGAAAATAAAACTTTATACTCCTCCGCAGCAAACCTGCCGACTAAGCGAATAATTTTCATTTATCTGAATCGGTTTTCAAACAAATGTATTTTTTAAGATTAGGTTTAAGGAGTATACCAAGGTTAGCTGCTGAAAGGAAACTAATAAAGTGTTTGTTTTTTAGTAAAGTATTAATAACATTATAATACATTAGCCAAGTTTGATCAAAATATATCCATAAACAAGCAAACATTTTACAATTCTCCAATAGAATTTAACATGAGAATTTAAAATTTACAATTTTTTTAATTTTCTCCTTTACCAATAACCGTACAAAAACACTTTAATATACAAAATTATTGGTGTTTTTAAGCTCTTTGAAAAAGTCTAGAGGGAAATTTTGTGTTTTGAGGGTCAAAAATGAGAAAAACCATTTTTTACCCCATAAAACCCCGTCCCATGGTCCGATCTTGCTGGTTCGAGAAAAGTCCAAGGGACTTTAAAAATAATGTAAGGTCAGTTTACAAATCGACGCAACACGCTCTTTCCAATGAGCCGTCAATGGTCAACTCAACCGACAAATTTTGTGTTGGCGTATTAATTATATAGATTCGTGTTTTAAGGCCTTTTAAGTGATATTTTTGTTTCAACAAAGGTAAAATTTTGTATTTGTCATTGAGAGTATAGGCCTAGATAACAGAGGAAATAAAACACGGTAAGTTTTTTTTTTACTAAAGTGCTATGTTATGAAAATTTAGATTAAAGAATAATTCGCTTTTTTGAATTTGAATTTTTTGTTTGTCTAAGAAACATGTATTAATGGTTGATTTTATATTTAATAATGGTTTAGTATTCCGAATTGTCAATAACTACGGTATACAAAAAAAAAATGTAAAAGTTGAAATTTGGTTCATTTCGAACAACTTTCTCGCTGACGAAAATCACCTGACCAAAGAATTAAAAACTTACCAGCAGACCAACTTTTTCATGTCCCAAATTTTACGCAAACTTATTTTTTGCTACATAGCCTATTTATTATTTTTTCAATGGTTTAAAATTTCAATTTACAAACTTCAAAAACATTATTACTAAGGTGGTATAGTGTGTGGAGCTGCCAGTTGCACCTCTGCTTAACACAGAGGGTGGCTTCAGCACCTCTACATACTGTTTAAAGAATAGGGATTGCCACTCTATGGTATTCCTTGTTCGCTGTCGCCAACATTCGTGTTCGGGTGCGCTTGCATTTTTTATAGTCTTCCGTCACGAATTAAAGGAGACGATCTAGGACGAATACCGAGCGCAGACGGGCACGAACGTAGCCAGTACACACTCGCTGTCATTCATAGTCAATGCTCTCTTCCTACAGTATTTACTGCAGTGGTTGTGTAGTAAGAGTTTAGTTTTTGTTATTTAATTATTTACTACTAGATCTTTTAGAGATAAACTGTACAATATATGGAGTGCTCTAATGAGGAAACACATGTTATTTTTGGAACTATACCGTAGTGAGCCTGTGGCCGTGGGATAGTTTAATTGTATACATATACATATATAAAGTGCATTATCTCCGTAACCGTTAGGCATAAAGCAACGCTTTCAATACCTATACAAAATTATTTCTTTTTTTAAGCTCTATAAAATGGTTTGGAAAGAAATTATGAAATTTTGTGTTTTTAAGGTTCAACAATTGGCAAAAATCAATCTTTCCCCCCATAAACCCCTGTTCCCATGGTCCAATTATGCTGGTTTGTGAACTCCTTCAATTAAACGTAGGTTTACATGCTTGTACCAAATTTCATCAACATTTTATAATTTTTTCTCAAGTTATCGTGCTAACAGACACATACACAAAATACAAATATATAAAAGAAATATATACAAAATATAAAAGAATACATTGGCTAGACTTCAAACTCGTTCGAATGACAGGCCATCGTTTTGATGTGGTACATGAAGACAAAAGAAAACCCTATAATCACGCCGCTCACCACAACCAAAATTTAGAAGGCTGCTTACCCTTAAAGCCCTTCACAATGTAAACCATCATCAAAACCCTAAATGCAACCAACTGGTCTTAAGAAATTCTGAATTAAAAAGTTCCCCTCTGGTTTAAATTTAAGATCTAGTAAAAAAAATGATTCAACTCAGCAGAATTTTAATTTTCTTTTAGGCTGATTTTCTATTTCTTTGATCTGTACTCAATCATATGTTTTCAAAATTCAACTATTTGTAAACTTTTAAACTTTTTTTTCATCTGCAGGGTGCCACTTTGTCACCCTTGAGCAAATTTAAATATTCAAAATGGCGGCCAGGATGGCTTAAAAACTGGACATGGGCTATATCTTTCCCTATAGAAGAGACAGGATAATAATTGTTGTGTTTAATTTTATGTTTTAGTGGTCAGAGAATACCAATAATTGATTATCTTAGTAATAAAATATATATTTTTTCTTTAAAAGTCAATAGGATGTCATTGGTGAATTGAAAAATGCATTTTTATTAAGTTATGTTAAATTACAACAAATTTTGAAAATGATATACCACATGCATTTTTATGAACATTTTTGAACAAAATTGACTCGGTACCAATGCTGTTATTTATTCGGTGGTTAATACTTCATTTCGATATGTAACACGTTTTTGGCTGCCATCTTGAAATGCCATATTGCATATAAATATAATATTTTTAATGTAATGATAGTGTTGTGACACACCATCTTAAACTAGATTTTCATGCTGATTTCAATTATGAACTCCGTTAATTTAACATCCTTTTTTTTGTTTTGAAGATATATTCAAACGATTGCTAACATTGCTAATCTTGCTAACACATACAATGCTGCTGATAGACATGCAAAAAGTAAGAAGAATTAATATTCTGCTTAAAAAATGCTCCAAACCTAATGTCAATGTCTAAATGAATGTGGTTATAAGTCAAAACTTAGTTTTTGTCCCTGCAGGAGGAGGGTTTTATTCCCTTGCTCTGGGAAGTGTCAGATTTAAAGACACCTACATTGAACTGATTGATTGATAAAATCATAAAATGTAAGAAATATTAAAATTTAGAGATGTTTTGAATTTTTGAAATTCAGGCAGGTTTACTATTTCCATATAAATTCCATACAAATCCATATAGTAAATCAAGACAGTTTCTTAGGTTTTCAAAATTAATTTTTAAAATAGATTTTGTTTTAACATTAAAAGTGTTTTTGTTCCTTTGTTGCAGTTGAGGAAGAAGAAAATGATCAGTTTGATATGGACATCTAAAGCGATATTGTCGATCAGATAATTGGACTTTCTCAGGTATCGCTGTGTAATCATCACTATTGTTGGTAGGAGCTTTATGTTCCTTTTAGAATCTGTTATTTTGAATCGCTTGATGACTTGAAACAATATCAAGACTGCCTATGTCAAATTTGCTAAAAAATTTTAATATTGCAAGTTACATCCTGATGGATAAATAACTTTCTGCTTTTCGATTAGAAAGCATTAATGAGTATTTAAAGTGTTAAACATTCAATAGATATTATTGATGGTGAAACTATTACTTTAGCATATCTGTGAATCAAAACATAATACTGTAGTGGTTTAATCATACGTTTTCACAATACCCAAACTTGTTAACAAACATGATATTGTTATATATGTGCCTTTAATTTGACATTTGCATGATTTTTTTAGAGCATCTTTAAAAGTTTGGAAACATATCATACTTTTTTAGTTCTAGCTCGATTGCAGCGTAATTCATTATTGCCAAATACTGATTGTGCTATCACGTTTTTTATTCACATAGCCTGCTCAAATAATGTTATTACAGTTATGTAAATGAGATTCAAATAGCTTTGTAGGCATTATTGAAAACATTATACCTATAACCTCTTTACATGATAGTTAAATTAAAAGTAAACAATTACTTTAGCCTATTACCTACCTATTTGTTTTACTTTTGTCTGGAGAAACCTTCCTCAACTACTGGTATATTCCAGTATTAAAAATAAAAGCAGAAGTACCTAGCACATTTAATCGGTTAGGTTTAGTTTACCTTGGAATCTGTAACTTTAAATCATGGTTTGTTTATAGTTTGCCCTTTATAAGCATAATAAAAACACACCATGAGAAGGTGTAGGCCTAATAGCACAGTCTGTAACAACCCAAAAAATAATGTTTTCATAGCCTAAGCTTTAAAGTTTTTGTTTGTTACTTATTCTTGTTGACAATAAATGTGAAATGTACGTATTTACATCATTAAGGAAGAAATCCCATGGTTTTTTTACCTGATTATAAAAGTTCAAATTTCATGACATTCAAATAAGACATCCTTTTTATGACATTCAAATAAGACATCCTTTTTTAATAAATGTCTTAACAAACTTAAAGTCAGACAGTGAACTGAATAGTATTGTTCAGTAAGACAAAAGGGCAAAGTGATGGTTATTGAAAAGTGACTGTAGAATCAAATTATGATCAACTGGATTGATATTGATTATTGACCAACTGCCTAATTATGAATCATATTGTCTTTCCTTTCACTTTTTGTAAACTAATTCAATTTATTTGCGTTTTTATAGTTGTTTTTTGATTGGTGATTTTGTTGGTAACTTTTTGAAATGTTTATGCACATGTAGTTTTATTAACACCTTAAAGTATTCATATGAGCGAGAATCTTAAATCTTGAATGTTTGATAATTTATATTTCCACAGTAAGATGTTAAATAGCAATAAGGTGTGTTATTCCAGTGTAATCTCTTTAGTGATAGCCTGTTAGGAATAATTATCATACATTTATTGTAATAGCATATTAGGAATTACCTTTGACATGAATTTATACATTGTAATGTATCGAAATTGCCAAATGTTCTCAGATTTGTTTCTCTTTTACCTCATTACTAAAAATTCCTAGTCATATAGAGAAAGTGGAAAAAGTGTCATTTATAGATTATGTGCCATCGGTTTGTTACCTGTTTTTGGTCACAGATTTATAAAAAAATATTAATTTGTGTACACTGTGTTTTATTTATTCCAAATTTCACACAGACCCATGGGAATTCCAGTTTTAACAAAAGGTTTGAGTTTCCTTTGGTAGGTATTTAAGTTGGCCATGTTAAGGAATGTTACATTTTTCTTAATCTCAGAGGAATTGGAGTCATAAATTCCTAGTTTGATATTGAATTCAAATATGTGCTACTTTTTCTTTCAAACAGGTCACTGACTTTTTGGCAACCCATTGTTTGTAAAATTCTCAGAATTTGAGAACCACACTTCTTTCCTATACCACTGAGACCTCTTATTGACCAAAGCGGTAGCAGCCTTGCAGAGTTTACCTATATAGCCAAAGTAAATTGTTTGTCAACGTTTAGTGTTTAGGCCTACAAGTCTTGGATACCACTCTAGTTTAGGGGTATGGGATTTTTTGTGATTTATTTTAATCTGTTGCTGCTGTTAGCGAGTATTATTTATTTAAATACCCCCGCCGCAGCAAACCTGCCGTCCAAGCGAATTTCCATTTGGCTGAATTGATTTTAATTTATTTATTCATCTATTTAAATAACATTAGGTGTAACGAGTACATAGGTTTGCTGCTACAAGGAAGTGTGTTTTTAAGTAAAATAATTATAGCTTAGTACAAAATCAATATATTTGCCAAGTTTGATCAAAATATATCCATAAACACGCAAACGACAACATTTTACAATATTCTCCATAAGAATAACATGGGAATTTTAAATTTACAATTTTTTGTTTTCTCCGTAACTAATAACCGTATGAAAACACTTTGATATACTGAATTGTTTGTTTTTTTAAGCTCTTTAAGAAGGTTTAGAGAAAAATTGGGAAATTTTATGTTTTGAGGGTCAAAAATGAGTAAAACCAATTTTTACCCCATAAAACCCTGTTCCCATAGTCCGATCATGCTGGATCACAAACTCATTCAAGTTTATCCCGCCTTACACCTTCAAACCAAATTTCATCAAAATCGGATAAAAATTACTCAAGTTATCGTGTTCACGGACATATATAAAAATTTGAACGAATGGTGTTTATGGCCTCTGGGGACATCAAAATGGAAAAGTAAATCGGTCCGGGCCTAAGTCTTACCATGAGACCTACGGTACTTCCCTATAGGGAAATTCGCTAATAGAATAATTGTTAGGAAAATGAATATAATATCAAACTGTAAGTTCAAGGAATCGTTATGACACTAGAAATACTACCAATCTCAATGTACCTAGGAAAAGTTGGTGAAGTTTAATTTTTTCCCCTGGTTTGAATACGATCAGTTAATAACCAGCCTTTTCAGAAACTCCGAGAAGGAAGTCATGATTACTTTCTACTCCTGAAGAAGAGGCCATTGTAAAAGGCCTCATAATCGACATTGTCCCTTATGAGGCCTTTTACAATGGCATATATCTTCTTCAGGAGTAGAAAGGGGACGATGTCGAAGTTGGACAACGTTAAACGTGGACTAAGCGTATTTCATTCTTCTTTGCTTTGTATATTTATTGTAACTAGCTAGATTTATTATTTTTATCATATTATAATTGATCATATTTGTTGGAAAATTGCAGTCTCTGTTATTTTATGATTTTGTGAAAAAAAATTAATTTTCTGTAAAAGAACAAAATTTTACCCTATGGATAAATATATATGGATAATTTTACACTACTTTTTGATTACACAGCTGTTAATATTTAAAATATATTTCAAACTATGTTATAAGGAATTTGTCAAAATGAAGTGTTTGCAATATTTTTTTTCTGATTTTGAAATCGATTTTCTTTTGCATCGTGTCAGGTTTTGCAATATAATGTTCTCTTACAAAATCAGTGGAAAATTAAGATTTTGTGATATTAAGATATCACAGTAACTCTTAGAATTATTTCTTATAGCGTTAATTATTGTACGGGTTGGTTTCTGCATTTTGTACCACTTAACCTCTAACTGAATATGGATATACAAATAAGAGCTTACCCTCAGAGAGCCTTTGAATGTTTTTAGAATACTAGAGGTTTCATTGGCACAGAAGTATGGTATCATGGCCGACGTGATGAAAGAAAAATCAAACTTTAACAGCTTAAGGGTAGACCCCACTTTGAAGTAAGAACGTGCCTTCTCAACAGATATTTTTTCTCAAATAGATTTAATCTGCCTTGCACTGACGAAATTGCTGAAGTTTTTACCACAAGAGATCCATCCACACAATTTTAATACAATCTAAAAGTTTTCAAAAAGAAGATGAAACCATTTAACGTAGTAATAACATAGATAAAACATACTCCCTTAGTAGATTTCTCATCCTAATGGAACAGCTGAAGACAATTTTATTGTTAGTTCTGTACGGTTTATGTAGAGGTCGTGTTTTGTTTACAATTTGTTTCCCATTAATACAGTAATTTAAAACCTCGTTTAACCAAATAATACGATGTAATCATAAACAATAAATTGTCCCCTAGTTATTTAACCAAACAGTAAAGCACAAATCAAGAAATTACCCCTTAAATAATAGAAACAAAATTTCGTCGACACTAGCGCCTAGTGTGGCGTACATGAACTAGACATGAAAAACGAGCTTCAAAATTTACAATGGGATGAGAAGTCTACTCGTGTTGGTTAGTCTATGGTAATAATAACTCTGTTGACGTACTGGAAATATTTGATTTGTTGAATAATCAAACCATATTCTGTAACGTGCACAATAGTTATTATTATCTTTAAAACTTATTTATTACTCATTACAAAAAGGTAAATGGCAAAGTTTTGATAATTGATTATTTATCGCATATTAGCGTAAGCCTTGAAAGTAACCGTCGATTTTAACAGGTTTCACCTAGTGACTAATTATAATCACAGACTTATAGTCTGTTAATTATTAATCAACAGTTTTACTTGATTCGATGTATGCTACACATTGCATTTATTTGGTAAATATCACATTCTTTGACAAAATGTGAAAAAAGATAATGTCCCATGACTTTACTTGTTGGTTACAATGAAACAGTAATAGTAGTTTATTAAACGAGCTTGAGTAGCAAATTTAAGGCCTTAAAAACCTTAAAAAAGTGTTTTAAAGGCTAACTACGAGAGCTGCTTATAATTGGTTGTTGTTAATTGAGCGGAGCGAGCGAAGCTCTTATACGTCGACTCTTGTGCATTTCGTAATACGCCAACTCCTCCTAGACGGCTGAATCAATCGTTTTCAAATTTTGCATGGTGATAAAGACTATATCGGTGAGTGCCAACATCTATATGGCGTTAAAAAAGTCCCACAGGAATCTGCCCCACTGGGTCTCAAAGTTTCAATGTAATCCTTATGGAAGCAGTATTTGACACATAAACAAAGACACATGATCAGCTGTTGACTTTTGAATGCAGTAGATAAAGAAATAGCTGATAGCATTATTCCACAGATATTAGAATAGAAACGGTATGGATCATAAATATAATCAAATGACGACACTAGCTTGAGGTCCGTAACGTAGGAAGTGGTGAAGGAAGTAGTAAAGGTGAGCAGTCTGGAGTGTGGTTAAATGCATTCATGTTTTAAGTAAGTAAGCGGACAGCTGATTTTGCGGCCTCGGGCTGTAAAAACCTCTGTCCCCAAATTACGATGACAGCTGGCATGGCCAGCAAAACGTTAGGTACTTTCAGCCACCAATTAACGTATGTAATACATCCAAAAACATCATAGTGTGGTGAAAATATTATTACAAACCGTTTGAGCATTTACTTCGATGTCGTCTATTTCACTAGAACAGGGTGTCCACAGAAATTTTGTCATTAATTTCCCTGACTTTCCATGACTATCCATGACCATTAACCATTGATTTCCATGACTCACGAGCTTAACTAAAAAATTATAATATACCATACACACACGAATAATACTGCCTAGTCAAGTTATTTCACAGAAAATATTGAAATATGTATTAACAGATAACAATAGAGTACAATGTACAACAATGAACTAATACAAACTCAAAACCCATAAACTAAGACAACTAAATAAATTGAAATTGTCGTACATTTGTGAAAATTCCGAAAAATACTACAATAGTCGGAGTTACGGCCGACTAGAGCATTGAAAGGTCCCCTGAAATCCATCCATCATTGGGGATTTCCATGACTTTCCATGACTTTTTGCCTATTTCCATGACTTTCAATGACCAAATTTTTTTCCATGACTAAACCATTATAACCTATTGATTTTTCCATTATAACCTATTGACTTTCCAGAATGTGGACACCCTGTAGAACTATCTGACATTTTCAAAATCTTTCATTAAACCTTCCTGAACTTGTTGGTTAGCAAATCGTTGTGTTCAACTTTTAGGTATGTGTGTTTCCAGCGGAAGTTGGCGGATCAACAATTGAATTGGTCGTTATCAATTGATAAGTTGGCAATTAAGGCATTACAGTTTTACTTCTTTTCCCTTTTATTCATTTCTTTTCCCTTATTGGTTCGTTACTTTACCAAACTAGTGCTATTAAGTAAAAAAAATAATGTGTTGAAGTATTTTCTATTATAAGAACTAATTTGAAAAGGCTAGTTCAACAAATGGTCGTAGGTCAAACATCTTACTGTCCAGTCTCTCAGCCATCTGACGTTTCCTGTGTACGATTGAGTACTCAAATATATTTATTTGACGCTATTCATTGTATAAAAACTTGTACTGTGAATGAATAAAGAGAATTTGAATTGAATTACTGCAAGAATGTGTTCTGTTGGATGGCTGAGCAGCATAGTGAGTTCATTGAGGTCCTTGACTGTGATTGGAGGATACACACCACACTTCACGTTCAGACATCTGTACTTTCTCTTGACTTACACTTGGTTATACTTATCGTTTATTTTTGCACTTCTTAAATTAAATTACTTTAACGAATTTCCCTATAGGGAAGTAGCTATTACCGTAGTACTCATAACAAGACCTGGACCCGGGACCGATTAACTTCTTCATTTTGTGGTCCCCAGAGGCCAAAAACACCATCTGTTCAAATTCATA